GACAGTCCCTTCAACAATCAGTATTGGGAAAATTGGACAGCCACATGCAGAAGAATGAAACTGGACCACTTTCTTACACCATATAAACTCAAAAAAGGGACACTTGGGTGGCACAAATTGGTGCAGCCACTCTGAAAAACAGTATGGAAGTTCCTCAAAAAGTTAAAAACAGAACTAACCTAAGATCCAGCAACTGCACTCCAGCTATTTACTCAAAAATACAAAACACTAATTCAAAGGGACATGCACCTCTATGTTTAAAGCAGCATTATTTCAAATAGCCTGGATATGGAAGCAGCCCACAAGTCCACTGATGAATGGATAAAGAAGATGAGATGGACAGATAAATACCTGTAGATATAGATATACAGATATAAATGTATCTACAATGGAATATTATACACCCATAAAAAAATAAAGAAATCTTGCCATTTGCAATGACGTGGATAGAGCTAGAGAGTATAATACTAAGTGAAATAAGTCAAAGAAAGACAAATACCATATGATTTCACTCATATGTGGAATTTAAGAAACAAAACAAACGAGCAAAGGTGAAAAAAAGAGAAGCAAACCAAGAAACAGACTCTTAACTATAGAGAAAAACTGATGGTTATCAGAGGGGAGCTGGATGAAGGAATGGGTGAAATAGGTGATGGGGATTAAGGAATATACTTGTGATGAGCACCAGATTATTAAAATTAAAACTTTTTAAAAAATCATATCATCTCAACAGGTGCAGAAAAAGTACTTGACAAAATTCAATCTTCATTCATAATCCACCCTGAACAAAGTGGGTTTAGAGAGAACATACCTCAACATAAGAAAAGCCATGTATGAAAAACCCACAGCTAATATCATATTCAATGGTGAAAAATTAAGGATGAAAAAGTTCTAAGATTGGGAATAAGACAAGGATACCGTTTCTTGCCCCACTTATTCTACATAATACTTAAAGTCCCAGCAACAGCAATCAGACAAGGAAAAAAACCATCCACATTGAAAGGAAAAAGCCGTCAATATTTGCAAATGTAATATATGGAAAATCCTAAAGATCCACTAAAAAACTACAGAACTGATAAATGAATTCAGTAAAGTTGTAGGCTACAAAATTAATATGAAGAAATCAGTCACATTTCTATACACTAACACTGAAGTAGCAGAAAGAGGAAATAAAACATTTCCATTTGCACCAAAAAGAATAAGACACATAAGAATAAACTTAACACGGATGTGAGAGACCTATTCTGTGAAAACTATAAAACTATAAAACACTCATGAAAGAAACTAAAGATGCCAAATAAATGGAAAGCGAGTCCATGTTAATGCGCTGGAAAATTTTTAAAATTGTCCATGTTACTGATTCAGTGCAACCTATCAAAATACCAAGAGCATTTTTCACAAAACTAGAAAAAATAATACTAAAATTTGGATGGAACCACAGAAGATGCCAAATAGCCAAAATAATCTTAAGAAAGAACAAAGTTGGAGGTATCACAATCCCAGATTTCACACTATATTACAAAGCTATGGTAATCAAAACAGAATGGCACTGGCAAAAGACACACAGATCAAGAGAACAGAATAGAGAACTCAGGGAAAAACCCGCACTTATTTGATCAATTAATCTATGGCAAAGGTGCTAGAAGTATACAATGAAGAAAAGACAGTCCTCAATAAAAGATGCTGGGAAAACTCAACAGCTACACTGAAAAGAATAAAACTGGACCACTTTCTAAAAATTTATTATTTCAGAGAGAGAAAGTGAGCACGTGAATAGGGGGAGGAAAAGGGCAGAGTGAGAGAATCCTAAAGCAGACTCCCTCCTGAGCAGAACTCGACATGGGGCTCAACCACTTTCTTACACAATACATAAACTCAAAATGACATAAAGGCCTACGTGGGAGATCTGAAACCATAAAACTCCTAAAAGAAAACACAGGCAATAATACCCTGGGCATCAGTCTTAGCAATATTTTTCTAGTTAAGTCTCCTCAGGCAAAGAAAACAAAAGCAAAAATAAACTATTAGGACATCAAACTAAAAAGCTTTTGCACAGGGAAAATTAAAAAATCAACAAAACCAAAGGCAACTTACTGAGTGGGAGAAAATGTCTGCAAATGATATATCCAATACAGGATTAGTATCCAATATGTATAAAGAACTTACACAACTCAACACCAAAAATACCCCCAAATAATCCCTTTAAAAATGGGCAGATGACCTGAATGAACACTTTTTCAAAGAAGACATACAGATGGTCAACAGACTTATGAAAAGATGCTCAACATCACTAATTATCAGGAAAATGTAAATCAAAGCTACAATGAGATAGCAACTTACACCTTACAGAATGGCTAAAATCAAAATGACAAGAAAAAACAAGGGCTGACAAGGATGTAGAGAAAAAGAAACCCTTGTACACTGTTGGTGGGTTGTAAATTGGTGCAGCCACTGCAAATAACTGTATGGAGATTCCTCAAAAAACTGAAAACTGAAATACCGTATTATCCAGTAATTCCACTACTAGGTATTTACCCAGAGAAAATGAGAACATTAATTGAAAAAGATATATGCACCCTATGCTTACTGCAGCATTATTTGCAACAGCCAAAATATGAAAGCAACCCAAATGCCCATCAAAGAGGAATGGAAAAATAAAATGTGGTGTATATAAACACAATGGAATATTACTCAGCCATAAAAAGAATGACACCTTGCCACTGGTGACACCATGAATGGACCTAGAGGGTATTATCCTAAGGGAGATAAGTCAGAGAAAGACAGATAATATAGGAGTTCACTTATATGTGGAATCAAAACTCACACACACATACAAAAAGCAAAAAACATGCCCTAAATACAGAGGTCATATCAATGGGGGGAGGTAGGCAAAATGAGTGAAGGGGAATGGGAGGTACTGGCTTTCAATTACCAAATGAATAAATCACAGGAATGAAAGGTACAGTAGAGGGAATACAGTCAATGGTATTATAATAGTATTATATGGTAACAGATGGTAGCTGCAGTTTTGGAGAGCACAGCATAACATATAAAGTTGTTGAATTACTGTTACTACGTTGAATTACTGAAACTAATCCAATACTGTGTGTTAACCATACTTCAATTAAAAGAACTATTTTTTTTTTCAATTAAAAAAAAAGCTCTACAGGTAATACTGATAACCTCCCCTGTTTGGGTTATTAGCCCAAGAATTCTAAGCCAAATTCCTGGTAATTACTTGAACTAAGGTATCCTGCCTAACAGAAAACAACTGATTGACTTAGGATCGCAAATTCAATTTTAAATTGAAAGTAAAGATCAAAATCAGAGATAAATTACCAAAAAAGATAAATTATCAAAAAAGATTAAGTCACAGGGATTTGATTAAAAAAAAAAAATAGTATTCCAGGATGCATACCGAGAGAACAGATATATCTCAGTGACTATCACCAACACAGAGTAATTATGTAATTATTAATAGCACAGAGTAATGGACTATTGAATGGATCTTGAATCAAAAAATCATAGTGGTTTATCAGTTATTTATGGAGCATATCCAATGTACTCAGGGATGACTAGGCAAAGTGGGGGTATCAAAAGAAGTTCCAGATAGTTAGCAGGTATTCAACCAATATTTGAGTTCATTAGCTAAATAAATGAAAACACAGTACGGTCTCTACCCTCAGGAGCTTACAATGTAGTAGAAAGATAAAACAAATATAAAAGAAATTTAATTATTAAATAATTTGTATACAGTTTACCCTTGAACAATGCAGAAGGTTAGGGGCACTGATCACCTGCACAATCGAAAATTCACCTATAACTGATGCCCAAGAACATAATCATTAATAGCCTACTGTTGACTGGAAGCCTTACCAATAACATAAATAGTGAACACATTTTTTGTAAGATGTATATATTCTGTATTCTCACAATAAAGCTAGAGAAAATATTAAAATCATAAAATACATTTATAATAGTGTACTATAAAATATGCCCATATAAGTGGACCCACACAGCTCAAAACCATGTTGTTCAAAGGTCAACTGTATGTATGTCAAGTTGTTAAGAAATCACAGAAGTTCTTGAATGGCCGAACACACACAACGAACTGCCAACTGATTTGAGCAACAGGACGCGAGTATTAAATTACAAGTTCTACCAGGTCCGTGAAAGTAAGTGAATTCACCTGGAATGGAACAGTGAAGGCTTATTTTACCTATTTCAAAATCTTCCCATATTCTACTACTTTGATATGGCCTGGGTGAGGGAGATGTATCAGTTAAAAAGGTTATAAATATATACATTCTTAAAGGTTAACCTATCTGTAGCTTAATGTCACTAATTGAATGAAATATATTGGTTTCTTCCTAATCACCAGTCAGATCACCCTCACTGATGATTTCAGAGATGAAGTATCCGGAGAAGGAAATTCTAACCTGAAGAGGATGTTATGTGAAGAAATGCAGGTAGCTAAAGGTGTGCAGGTGAGGCAGCATTAGAAAAACGGCCTACTTTGTCTCCACAGACTCTCCTACCTTTAAAAGCATCAGCTACAGCATTTGAAACCATCCTGACTGCTCCATTTCTTTTATGTGCCTAGAACCGTTAATGCTTGATAAATCCTATATATTACCATGCTTGCATTTAGTAAACAGTTTGATTAATAGTACTCATTTTACTCACACTTAATAACTTCCTCACTCTTAAATAGACTTCTCTAAGTAAAGATTATTTTGAAGATAAATTTAAAATAATTTTTGAGTCAGGAAGCTTGATGTAGAATTTAGATCTTTTATTACCTTTTACTTTATTTTTTATTTTTATTATCTTTATCACATTGCATTTATTTAGGACAACCTCCTCACACCTTTGCACTGACTTGCAATATAAAATTAAATCTGTTTAAATAAAATAATGTTCAGCTCTAATAAAACTCTAAAAGATTACTTTTTAAAATGCAGTAAATATTTAAAACATATTTTGAAATGATAAATAATAAAAATCAACATGAATCCAGAGACATTATCCTCCACATTATTTAAAATATCATATTATTCCCCACAAAAGAATTCGATACAAGAGTTCAATGCAAAAGAAATATTGCCTGATATTTTACATTCAGTTTGTGTCTTTACTTCTATTCTCAGGCAGATATTTTCTCTTAAAAGTAATGCTTTTTTAACTGTTCCTTATGAAGACATATTATTCGTTGTTACTGCATATTTATCATTTTTTGATGATTCAGTAGTAATTAAGTAATTATTACTGTAATTAATTACATATTTCTGTAATTAAGTATTTCTGAAGTTTAAGGGTAAAAAATCATATTCAATCATACAAAATACTCTTGATTTTTAAGATGTCATTATTTGTTATACTATTTTTAAGTAGTTTGCTAAACTGAGTGTTACACAAAAAAACTACTTCTATTTCCTAAGTTGATAAGAACTCAGCTCATTCCTATACCAGATCTTAAAACCTTAAGGGTTAATCTTCATCATCTTTGAGAATTTCTAAAGAATCAGTCAACTATACCGCATCTGTATTTGTGAATTTGTATTTGTGAATTATTTTGTCCAGCCGCTTCATCAGGAATAATGCACTCAAAGAAACCAGGCTCTAAATTCATGCCAAACTGATCATTTTTTTTCAACCTGTATAAAAACTATTCTTCTAAGGTATATGGAAAAGAAATACAATGTGTAACTGGCAGGACTGCTAAAGTACTGACAACTAAATAATATCCTACAAATACTCCTATCTTAGCAATGGCCCAAACATTAACTTCTAGAGAATTTTGACTGATACAATAAAATAATTCATGCCCAATTAGATTATATAATTTTTGCACTTTTGAGACCAAAAATATAAATTAGTGTCCATTTATATCACTTGCAAATGTCTATATACTAAAATTGCTAGAGCCTATAAGGTACATACCACTTAGAAAACACAAATAGTTAGACAGTGCTCTTTTCAGATATATTCATATAAAGATGAAAATCAATACTTGTATCATCAATAGCTCTAATTAGAAAATGTCACCCACACAGTATGACTGTCAATAGCCAAACTGTACCCTTGATTATAATCACTATTATAACTGAATAATCTGTATATCATATCATGAGTTGTAATCCCCCATCCACTACCAGAACATGCCCTGTAATATATGGTGATTCTAAAAGAAACACAACCGCATGTGCCACATCAATAGGTTCTCCAAACCTCCCAAGAGGGATACTTTTCTTTAAATGTTCTTCTTTCAAGTCTTTCGTCATATCTGTGTGAACAAATCCTAAAAGAGAAATCTTTATTTAGTTGAAAAGGGTAGGCACCAAGCCATCTGCTCAATTTTAAATAAAAATAAATTTGCTCCTGATAATTTGAGATTATTAACAAACTTGTTTAGGAAATACAGAGTTCTGCTAGCAATCAAGCAATCAAGTCTACATTTTTATTCAATTTAACTCAATGAAAATTTACTGAACACCAAAACATGTGACTCCCAAATAAATGGCCCAACTCCTAGCACAATATAAGTGGGTAGATACAAACATGAAAATTCATTCCTTGGGGAACCTGTAGTTTATGGAAGAAACACGCACCTGTATCCCTAAATATAATAAAAGGTCATCTGGTGAATACCCTTATACATAAAGTACCACAAAGAAGGAATTGTCACTTGATTGGGAGTAGAGGGGTAATAGGGTTAGAGGGAAAAAAGCAGTCACATAAACTGATCAGGCACTTCTGACAAAAATTAGTTTTGTTTGCTATAGCTAAGATAGCTGATGATCAGAAAGAACAGTATTTCCAATATTCATATAAGAAAAAAATCTTATGGCATGATCCTATTGTGATGCAAGAATATACTGAAAATTCAAACTTTAACATGGCATTGGTTTTCTAAAGTATATGGTTCTGTGGTATAAAGTACCATATAATATATTAGACAACCAATTCTAAATGATCCATATCATAGATATATATCAGAACTATAAATTTATTAAGAAAATCTTGTGAGATTAGTCTGAAATGAACACATATTACCAATACTCAACTTAAAAAAATCAGTATACTGTACACAACTCATTTAAAACTTCTGAAGAAGAGAGCAAATAATTAATCCTCATGAAATTAAGATTTTTTAATTTTAAGGTCATGAAAAATACATGGACTAAAAGTCAGACATGTGAAGTGTAGTTCAATGTGCAACCTCAAGAAGTTTTCAAAAAAAAAAACAGTTTTCAGACTGGCTTGTGTTACAATTAAATCATTTTAATTCAAACTGTAAATTAATCTAAATACACTGCCATTTAAAGTATCAGGATAAATGTGAACTAAACACTGTGCTAAGAATTAACAAAAGGTCACTGGTTTATTATGTAATACTATGTTCTTATTTAGTTTTTCTTTGCCTTAGGTTTCACTTACAAATTTTTAAAGATTTCCTTAAAAGTCTAATGAGAAACAATCACAGATTTTCCTAACATGAAGCCTACAACAGTGACAGCTTTCTTATGGAAGAACTAGAAACAAGTTGAGTATCTTTCAAAAAGAAACTGTTTAAAGAAATCCTGGTACAGCCATACTGTAGAATAATATGCATCTATTAAAAATGAATCTATGAAGGACTTTTAAAGAGGAAAATAGTATTTGCCTATTAAAAATGAGGTTACAAATGCATTATAACCCCATTAAAAACAAAATATGTATATACTAATGACTAAAACAACCACCAAATATTAACAGTGATTATCACTAAATACTAGAATTACAAGTGATGATTTTTACTTTCTTCTCTGGATTTGTCTATACTTTCCAAATTGTCTACAATGTATGTATATTATCTTTGTATTCGAATAAAAAGTTATTGAAAAAGATGTACAGTATTAACTTCAGATTCTCTGAAATGAAGACCTGGAATAAAAAAATAATGTTATACTATTTGGGTGTTTCATTGTGAGATTACATTGTGAAATACAACCTTATCGGCCATTAAATCTTACCACATTTTTAATTTTTTATTCTTTTTTAAGATTTTATTTATTAAAAAAAAAAGATTTTATTTATTTATTTGACAGACAGAAATCACAAGTGGGCAGAGGCAGGCAGAGAGAGGGGGGGAGGCAGGCTCCCTGCTGAGCAGAGAGCCCGATGCGGGACTAGATCCCAGGAGCTTGGGATCATGACCTGAGCTTAAGGCAGAGGCTTTAATCCACTGAGCCACCCAGGCACCCCAAATCTTACCACATTTTTTAAAAAGTCCACCCCATTTACTTCAATCCCTTTCCTCTTTAAGGACAATGAGATGAAAAAAGAAAAAAAAAAAGAAAGAACAATGAGATGGCCAGATGGAATGCAAGAATCAAGAGAAGTAGCTGACAGAGATAATAAGAACACTGGACAACCAGAATTTCAAGTGAATAGTAAATGAAACTTCATCTACAGTGAAGAGTCATAATAATCAATAGGCAATCCAATTACCTTAAAAAGCACTATCATGGGACTTCCTGATATCCAAAGTTTTACATCTTTGGACACATTTATTTCCAAAAACACCTCAGAGTATATTAGGAAAAAAAAAAAAACCCTCATCTCACACATTCAAAAAGCTGAATGAATTAAAATTATGAACGTAACATTTAAAGATTACATTATCTTCTCAAGGAGTTCATGATATACCTACTTTATTCAAAGGTTGTTTTGAATTCTAGCAAAACTGGCATAAAATATTTCCTCACTAACTCTCAACACCCTCAGCAGAAAATCAATAATGTATTTTAATCTTAAATAAAAGAAAAAACTTGGGGTGCCTGGATGGCTCAGTCAGTTGAGTGCCTGACTTCATTTCAGTTCAGGTCATGATCTTGGAGTCATGGGGTCGAGCCCCGCATTAGGCTCCTCACTCAGCAGGGAGTCTTCTTGAGATTCTCTCTCCCTCTGCCCTTCCCCCAGCTCTTTCTCTCTCTCTCTCTCTCAAGAGTAAATAAATCTTTTTTTAAAAAAATTCATAAAAACTATAGTAAAAATGTTTTTGCAAGGAAGACCCTGTAATGATGAGTTAGCAAATTCCAGGCTCAACTTCTAGTGAGCTTTTTCTGGTTCTGGTGACTTTTTCTCAAAAGAAGCACTTTGTGATAAAAAGACCACTGGATTAGGACATATTAAACTAGATTCTGGTTCCCTGCTCTGCTAATACTATCAAAGCTAGGACCCAAGCAAAGTCATGTAGAACCTAAAACTGTATGATTGTTTCTGCATCATAAAATAAGTGAAGTAGATTGAAAATGATGGATCATTGAGATATCTTTTAGCTCTACAAAACTATGATTCGAGGATGAAAAGTATGCCTCATTAATGACAACTGTCCTTGAAGATTAGGAAAGTGAGCTCCCCTAAAAGAACCCTTGGTTCCTACGTTGGTAGCTGGGTGGATAATTAGAATAGCTCCAATTCAGGAAGCACTGATACTAATCTAGGTTTTTATTCATTCTGGGCAGAAAGAAACAGATTTGGGTCGATATCAGTCCTTACATGTTTGTCTCTTTTGAGACAAAGAATAAGGCCACACAATCTGTGAGAGGCCATCTGAAGGCATTTCCATTTTGGAAAAAAAGGCAGATATAGAACAGAGCATTTAGTACAGAAAGGCAAACCTTGGATAGGAAGAGAGATCCAGACAGTGAGAGAAGTTTAAGAATAATTTCAGTGAGATGGAAAGAAGTCTTTTGCCTCATATATACAGGCCAGGACAACAGATTATATTCTTCCAAAAAACAATCAAATAAGCCAGATACATGAAATAGATAAAGGCTAATATCTTGAAGCTTTTGATAAGGTCTTGTTCAACATTACAGCCTAGATTCAGCCCTACCAAAGTCTGTGTCCACGTTAGGTCAAATTTGAGAAGGAGAGGTATCATCTGAATCCAACAATGATTGCAAGAAGTCCAGAAATGGAATCATGATGTTCAAACACCCACCTCACATGAATATTATCCCTCCACTGCTCAAGCCTGGAACATAAGGGTGTTATTTCACAAGGGAAAGTCTGCCACAGATTCTCCCCAGGTCTATGAATGGATAGTTAAAATGACAATCCTCATGGGACAGCTGCTAGCCAACCCTGAATGCTAGACAAAGACTAAAATAAAGTGGGCATCAGAGGCCAAGCTGAAAGGAAGGGATTAATTCACCAATATCAACTTTTCCTCTTTGATTCTGATGTCTGATACGGAGACCAAGAATATCCAAAGACCCAAGAGCCTTTCTCTCATCATTATCGGCAGCTTTTTTTTTTTAATTAATAGACTTATTTTTAGAGCAGTTTTAGGTTTACAGAAAAACTGAGCATAAAGTAGAGGGGGTTCCCATATATTTCCTTATCACATTAGCCCTATTTTCCCCAATTATTTATAGCTTGCCTTAGGGTGGTACATTTGATGGTCCAATATTTATACATTATTAAGTAAAGTCCATACTTTACATTAGCATTCACCCTTTGGATGGCATATAGTTCTATGTTTTTACAAACATGTAACATAACATATCCACCATTACAGTATTATACAGAATAAATTTACTGCCCTAAAAATCTGCAGCTTTTAAAAAAAATGTAAATCTTTACCAAACTTATTAGAAATCAGATAAAAAAAAATGTGAAGCTAATTTCAAATGACTCCAGGCTCAACCAAATTTCAATGTCATTTTATGCTATAGCTCATAAACCATGTGATCCTCACTCATAAATATATTGACAACTCAGGTCACTGCATATAAACAGCCTATTGGCATCTCTATCATATATCATAGGACCTCAGCAGAGATATCAGCAGTCCTTAAACATTTCACATACTCATTCTTGTGCTTGTACTGCTCTCCAGTTTGTGCTCTCTCCTTGGCCCGATAGGACTCTCTTCCATAACATTCTGTTACATTATTTATAAAGTTCTGGAAATTTTGTTCTCCTACTCTCCTTACTATGTATGTATTTATAATGCCTTTCAAGCTGGGTTATGAAAATATTAAACTACCAATAGGTGCCACTGTCCAACAAATGATGTTATTATTGATCACTTGGACAATTAGAGGTTTCCAGCTGGAAACAAAGTTATCACTCCTTAAGCCCACAAATAAATAACTAAAATGACACACCCTCCACTTAGAATAAGGATACTTCTACTTTAGTTCCACATACATGACAACACACTCAGTGTATCTTTTTTAAAAAGGTACAGATAGGAGCACCTGGGTGGCATAGTCAGTTAAGCTTTAGACTCTTGATTTTGGCTCA